CACACCTAAAAAAGGATTCCTGGAGCTGACCTTGAGATGAGCAAGGATTGCCAAGACAAAAGGGAAGAACATTCCAACAGAGGAAGCAGCATCTAACAGAAAAAAATGGGAGAACGTAGTATACAGAATACCTGGGAAACTACAAATAATTCCTTTCCCAAGCACAATAGGTCACACAAGAATATGGTCAGTTCCCTCCAAGCTGTAAAATAGTGTTTCCATTTGAATCCCTGGAAATGGCAGTTTTCAACTCAAGTCAAGCTGTGTACTTCTTCCCTCGCTCCCCTTTGTTCACATCATCATAGTCACTGTATTACTCATATATCTATTGCCTTTGCCAAACTATAGTAAGACCCCATGAGAACAAACAGGTATCCCTGTATAACACCTACATCATCTAATGAAATAATATAGGTATTCAGCAGCATAGCACTAGGATTAAAAGCACTATGACTGGGGCCAGGCAATCTGGGTTCAAATCCAGACTCTACCACTTGCTAGCTATGTGATCCAGGGTAAGTTACTTAATCTCCCTGTGCCTTAATTTCCTCATTGATAATGTAAGAAAAATAATAGCACCTGCTCATTGGATTGCAGTGAAAAACCTTAAGTGCTTAGAACAGTGCTTGACTCATAGAAAGCACCAGATAAGTGTTTTTACTATTATAACTCAACAAGTATTAACTATGCCAAATGAGGACTTCTGTATTCTCAAACTTTGAAAACAAACCCAAATTACTTTAAGTATGTGTAAAACCTGCACACTGAAAACTAGAAAACATTGCTCAGAAAAATTAAGAGCTGAATAAATAGAAGATAAATGTTCATGGATCAGAAGACTCTATCGTTAAGATACCATTCTGAATTGATCAGCATTCTCTATGTAATCTCAATCAAAATCTAGGTAGGCATGTTTACAGAACTTGATGATTCTAAACTTTATGTGAAAATGTAAACAATCTAGAATAGCCAAAATTTTTTAAGAAAAGGTTAGAGGACTTAGACTATATGATTTCAAGACTTAGTATAAAGCTACAGTAAACAAGGCTATGTGCTATCAAGAGAAATGAAAACACATGGCCATACAAAGACCTGCATACAAATGTTCATAATAGCTGTATTCATAATAGCCAAAAACTGGAAACAACCTAACTGTCCATCAGCGGGTGAATTAATTGTGGTATAACCATACAATGGAATTCTGGTCAGCAATAAAAGAGAATAAAAACACACAACAAGATTAATCTCAAATAATTATGCTGAGTTAAAGAAGCCAGATCAAAAAAAATTTTCAGTTATATGAAACTCTAGAAAATACAACCTAGTCTATAACAGAAAGCTAACCAGTGGTTGTCTAAGCACAGGGGGTGAAGAGGGGACTGTATACAAAGGAATATGGAAAATCTTCTGCAGTGATAACTGCGGTGGTGGTTATACAACTATACATATATATGTACACACACACACACACACACACACGTGTGTATATATATCTGTCCAAACTCATCAAACTGTACACTTAAAATTGGTGAATTTTATTGTATATAAATTATGCCCATATAAACAAAATAAAGCCATAAGGCAACATTGTCTTTTAAATAAAGGCACATCTTTTGCTTTCCACACTAATGGTAAGAATAAAGGCAAGAATTACCATTGACTTAACTTTGAGAAATCTATGTAACAATATGAGAATTTTGTAAACTCAGAGTGATAAAACAACCAAAACTGCCATTGGTTCAACCAACTCATAGGAAATCTATAAAAGAATTTTCCAATTCTGAATAGAGGTACTTATTCTAAATAAAAATTAATAAGGAACATAGAGTTCAATAAGCTTGTAACTGGCCACAAGGTTATCTAAACCTGCCAGGTTACAGAGAACTGTGGGGGAAAAAAAAAGTATAAAGGATATTTAAGAAGAATGAGCTTCTATGCTATCCAAAATGTAACAATGGTACTTCCAATGATTCTAATTCTACTCCTCCATAAAGAACTCTGCAAGGATCAAGAAAATAGAGATTATTCCTTAAAGCTAAAAGTAAATCACTAGTAAGAAACATAGAGAAGACTCCTAATTTGTATCATGAAGTTCTCTCAGGAGAGTACTACTTACCTGGTTAATTCTCCTGAGGAAAGATGTTTTTCTCCTTAAGTCTTAAAAAAACAATATCTTACTTGTTTTATGATATAAAGCACAGTTATTTTTAAGTATATATCCAGGTTGACCCTCAAATCTTAAACTTAAAATCTGTAACATAAGCAATAAATGAGGGCATAAACATTTACAAAGAGAAAAATGGCAGTGTAAGCACTTTTCAAGTTCCTACAACTACAGCAATACACGGCATGTATATTATACGGATTTGATTAGTTCTAATGCAATGTGCTACTTTATGTTCTAACTTATGCTGTCATAAAAACTTCAGTAAGTAGGTCACAGCTTAAGAAAAGATATTTAAGATCTGAATTGGGTTAACCTTTTCTTCTGTAAAGTATACAAGTAATTATCATACTCAGTGTTTCCTATTCAAGTTCCACACACATGTATACCTTCAAGTCTTTATGGGTTCTCTACCCTCTACATACCCCCCCATATATGATGCCCTCTCCTTTTATCCCACCTGTCTGGATTCTTCCCATCTTTCACATCTATCTTAATAGGTACATGTTCCTTGCACCAGAAGCAATCTCTGTCTTCTGAAATCCCACAGCTCTTTCCTCTAGTCTCCTATGGTTCTTTCTGTCTTATACTGTACTCCTTTAAGTGCAGTAAACTCTCTTCTACTATGAGTATCCTTGAAAGGAAAGTCCATACTTTTTTCAGCCTGTATCCTTCATAGCACTTAGTGCCTGGAACTAAACATTTATTGGGCATATCGCTTAGAATGGAGAGGAAAATATTCAACAATGTTTTTTAGACACTATGTGCCATGCACCACTGCCTTAGGTGTTATAAAAATAAATAAATGTCAATGATAGACACTTGCTCTAAATCTACTAGAGACATAGACATATAAACAGATAATATAGCAAAATTGTGGCAAATGTTATAGGAAGGGATGAACAAGGTGCTATGAGGGAAACATTATGTATGTTGAAAACTGTTCTAATTCCATTAATTGTGTTAGGAAACTAAGTCTAGATTTTTGAAGGGCCCAATGATTACAAAGCTTCCAAGAGTGGGATAAGGGCCCCTTAATCTTGAAAAAATTTCTTACACAACCTGAAACTAACACTACACCTATATAACAACCTCATCTGCAAACAGGGAGTAGCAAACTGCCCTCTCGTCTCCTCTGCAATAGCCAGGCCTGGTCTAACTTTTTTTTTTTTTTGCCTATTTTTGTTTAATTTATTTCTTTTAAGACCACCTCCTTGCAAATTCCAGAGAGAAAATAAAAAACAAGAAACAGACTTGGTTTCAAATACCAAGCACTGCTGATAACATTGGTACAGAAGAATGTCAGCTTACTCCACGGCATTTGAGTATTCCTGAGGAATAAACATGATTTCTCCTTTCCTCCCACTGGGATGTTCTCAGGTGTAAGTCACCGCTCCTGTTCTTTGACATTATTTTCCAGATATGTCAAAGGTATCGTGCCTGGAAATCATGCTGACAGTTGGAGTAGGCCATTCCCAGCCCCATGCTAGAACCAAAGGCTAATGGCCACCACACCCTTCTTCTAAAGAAGTGAGAAAACAAGTCCTAATCCAAAACTAGTACTTATCTTCACTGATCCCACTTCCTGCCGGGCTCTAATTCCGACACTTACCCCACCAGAAGATCCAGCTTTCCCTGGTCTAACTCTTTAAACAAACTTATTCATCACATCTTCTCACATTTGGCTCAATTTTGCACTATTTCCATAAATCTTGTGCCACTCCCATGCCCAAAGTTCTGCTTCTCTAAATCTACTTAACCTGTAAGGTTCTTCTCAAGGCCTACTTCCTCAGCCCTCTATCACACACGATTTACTACATCCTCCAAATGTATACTGTATTATTTATTACTATCTACACATCTCTTTTTTAACAATTAATAATAGTGGTAAAGTTAATTCTTAACTTTTTTATATAATTTGGAGTTAAGCAGAAGTGGCCTCAATTCCCAGACGTGCTACTGCTTTGCAATGTAAAATCCAGCAAGTTACAAAACTTCCTTGAACCTATTTCCTCATCAAGATTAAGATTAAATTGGGTGATATGTACAAAATGCCTAATATACATACATACTCATACATACACTATATACATATAGACTTATTTAATTTTATTATTCTTATTTTCCAAAAAGGGAGATGCAAACTCTTCCTTCGCAAGAGCAAGAGCAATGAAAAATAAACAAGTAGGTACTAAAAACTGGACCGGTTAATTGATGTAAAGGAGACTCACAACTTTTAAATGTGCCCTCAAGATAACTCACACCACAAGACACCTTCAATAGAACTTCTCATGTCTCCTTCTGTAAACCACGAAAACCTCAAAAGCAAAAAAGACAGACAGAAAAAAGTCGTAGGCTGGTGGCCGTAACACTGACATCCTTCTCTAGAATCTGTCTGCCTCAGTGCAAAACTGACGCTGTAAGAATAATCGAGAGAAGAAATATCATCCATTACATAAATAACACATAAATTATTTCTTTAATCTGTATTATACCTCGGAAGCAAGCAAAACCACTTCTGCAAATTTCAGCCTCAGAAGAGAAAGTCCAAATGGGATGGGGGCTGAGTCATCAATTGAAAACCATCAATCTCTGCCCCACCCTGGAATGGGGGGACACTACCGCAACCTTCTCCAGTGGAGTCCCGCGCATCCTACATTCAGTCCCCACCTCCGCCTTCCTGAAGTCCCCACGTCCGATCCATATACCAGCAGGAGGCCCATCCAGTCCCACCCTCGGCTGTGACCCGCGGTCAGGTACCTCCGCCACAGGGTCCCCACCCCAGCCCCTCAAGTTCCAGTTCAGGCTCCTACCCCCGCCCGACACCGGCACTCACCCGGGCGGTGACCTTATACACCGTGTAACCCCTCGGGTGTCGCTGGGGCTCGGTGACAGTGTAGAACCGGGCCAGGTCGGCGCCCCGCTCCCAGGGAGAGGTCATCCTCCCGCCACCTCTGCCGCAGCCGCCTGCCGGGGACCATTAGGGCAACCCGGCTCCGCAGCTCTCTGGGATCCCCAAGAGGAGGCAAAGCGCTGAAGGCGTGGCGGCTCCGCAGCGGCGCCTCCGGCGCACAGCTCTACTTCCGGGTCGGCAGAGAAGCTTCCGGGTCAGGCCGCATCGCGCATCCTGCGGGACGGAGACTTCATTTATATTCTGACCAGCATCCAGCCCTGGGCTTTGCGAGTCAGCGAGCGCCAGGTGGTTGCACCGCCACACTCCTTACTGCGGAGAACTGAGACATCTCAGTCTCCTTGTGCACTAGCTCCCTTACTTCTGTATTTTGTGACAGCCGTAATGGCCACTACACACCGGTGAGAGCTTGGTCCTCCACACCGCTGCCCAGCCCTTGAATACACTTATTTGGAGTTGTAAAGGGATGGAAGGATACCCTTGCCGAGCATCTTTTTCTTTC